AAAGGTCTCATATAGTTTCTCAGAACACTTAAATATTTACAGATGAAATGGACTTCCTGTTAACTGAAAGAAAAGATTAATTAGATTTAATTTGGCTGATATTCTAGTAAAATATCACTTTCTTTAATTTCCTCATGTTAGAGTGAAGAAACAAAGATCTTAGGTGCAAGATGCTTGAGCATTGTTGGCACTTAATGACAGATCAGTTCACAAAACTTTTTTAAAACATTTTATTATCTTGTTTTATCAAAATGTAATTATCAAATGTTTCCTGTTCCACATTCATCAACAACAGTAAGACACAAAGCTCCTCCAGACCAAATCAGCTCCTCAAATGGCTCCACATATACATGTACAATATTTAATGCTCTTTAAACAGCGTGTTGCCTATTGCCTACATAGGTCGATCCATCCGGTTGTTATGACAACTTGGTGACTGTCAGATCCTTCGTGCCCCAGTATCACCTGGCGGGAGGAGTCAACCTGCCAAAGATCATCGACTGTGTCGGCTCCGACGGCAAGAGCAGGAGACAACTGGTCAAAGTAAGTGCGCCTCTTATGTGAAGTATGCCTTTGATTCTCTGGGTTAAATAGGTTGAGTTCATGTTGCAAACATGCACAAAGAATTTTTTTTTCTCTGTCTGAAACATGTGACTAAACAAATCCCCCCTGTCTTTGAAGCTCAAGCTGCTGTCATGTGTGATTAAAGTCTGACCGGCAGCGAAGGGGAGCCGGCTCACTTTTAACTTGAGTTCTTTTCCATTTCAGTTTGGCTCTTGCTAATAATTAATCTTGTTTTTGTGCCAGGACAAATACAAAGTTTGTTAGATCACAAACATGCTTTCACGCCTTTGATAATGAGGACATTCTTCAGGAGACAGCTTGTGCGTGTGTGTTTGTGTGTGTGAGCTCATGTTTGTGTTTGTAGAAACCCTTGTCTGCCACTTAAAGGCTAATAATTCACCACTTAGACACTCGGGAGAGTCATGGTGAAATAACAGTTTTTTCCAATCTTTAACCTCTTTGAATTTCTGTTTTGAGATCAGTATGCTATTATACATTATTATTATTATTATTATTATTATTAAAAACACACAATTATAATAATAATATTTGTAGACTACAGAATTAAAAAATGGCTCAATATTAGCCCCTCTCTGTGCTTTAGTATACTACATGTGCTCCGGTAACCTTTGCCCTCACGGTGTGAACAGGGTCAGGATGATCTGCGACAGGATGCAGTCATGCAGCAGGTCTTCAGCATGTGCTCCATGCTGCTGCAGCGCAACACAGACACTCGCAAAAGGAAGCTCAACATCAGACGATACAAGGTTATAACACATTGTGATCTCATATTTAATCCATTGCTCTTTCATTCAAAGAGAATAATAAATCGGGACTGGGTTGTTCTGTTGCATACTTCCTTTGATCTTTGTGTCTTCGACTTGTAATTCCAATATTTTCATCATCATGAAAGCGGTTAAAAAACAGAACACTTACAATTGCATCACCTGCGTTCTGTCTCTCGTACATCATCCCAGGTAGTGCCGTTCTCGCAGCGCAGCGGCGTCTTAGAGTGGTGTTCTGGCACAGTGCCTATTGGGGAGTTTCTGGTGGATCCCAATAAAGGAGCCCACAAACGCTTCAGACCCCGGGACTGGACCAACCTGTGTTGCCGCAAGAAGATGATGGTACTGCTCAAGCATGAATTCAGACAGAGTTATGTTGAATGGAAAAGATACACTAAACTAACAACCTGTCCTGTTAATCTTCTGTTGTGCTGTCACTGCAGGAGGCTCAGAGGCTTGCGTTTGATGAGAAGCTCCAGGCCTACAGCGAGGTGTGCAGGAACTTCAGGCCTGTCTTCAGGTATTTCTGCATGGAACGCTTCCTGGACCCCGCGGTGTGGATGGAGAAACGGCTGGCTTACACTCGCAGCGTGGCCACTTCCTCTATAGGTACAGACAGTCCTGGACATTCACCCCAGGTTCAGTACTACACATACACAACCTCTCAACATCAACATCTCACAGTCATAAATTGATTGAAACAAGATGAGCATGGAGGCATTGAATTAGAAAAGACCACATCCCCTCAAACAATGAGCAATTTGTTATTGAGTCCAAGTATAAATTAGGACATGGAGACAAATGATTACAGTTATTTAACTAATATTTCCTTTCATTCTAACAAGTAATGGCGATATAATAACACATTTCAAGGAATGAAATATAATATATAATATGTATATGACCTGTTGACTTCTGTGTTTTGTGCCTGCAGTTGGCTACATCGTAGGCCTGGGTGACCGACACATCCAGAATATTCTGATTGACGAGCAGACTGCTGAACTGGTGCACATCGATTTAGGTAAAATCATTAACTTGTTAGTTTCATTTACTGTATTTAAACATCAAAGACTCTTCAGAAAAAGGTGAGGCTGTGTAAACAGAGTGTACTGAGCTTGCTGTACTTATGTAACCTTGCAGGAGACCTATTTACACCTGGAAAAGTTTGATCGAAGTGCATGTTTTGTTTTGACAAATAATGATTTAAATTACATTATATATAGGCTCTGGCAGTAGCTCTAAATTAACAAAGATGAAGACTGTGAGTATACATGGTGTATAATGGATCCTAACACATCCCTCTCTCTGTTTTTCATGCGTGTGGCGTTCAGGTGTGGCCTTTGAGCAGGGGAAGATCCTCCCCACTCCTGAGACCGTCCCATTCAGATTGTCCAGAGACATTGTGGACGGGATGGGCATCACTGGAGTGGAGGGAGTTTTCAGAAGGTGAGGAGATCATGGTTCTTCTCTGATATTAGGTGTCATGAAATACAAAACCAAGCCTGGGAATTTTTCATTTTCTTTTCATCATAGTTGTCATTTTTGTGAGGTTAATTTCAAAATACCAGCAATAATAAATAAATGCATGCCACACAATTTAAGACGCAAGTCCATGACACTACAGTGTGAAAATGAACTTGCGGGACCAGTTTTTAAAACATTTCAGTGTTTGTGGTGCCTTCAAGGACAATGATAAATAGAAATATATAAGTAAAAGCCAATTACAAAGAGAACAACATATCTCCAGCCATAGATTAAGATGTGTCTTGTGAATAAGCAGGGCTACTGCAGCATTTTCTTAGCCTTTGCATTGCTTTGTTGGCTGAAATTTTTTCTCTGCTCAGATGTTGTGAGAAGACTATAGAGGTGATGAGGAGCTCTCAAGAAGCTCTGCTGACTATCGTAGAGGTAAGAATATGGGAACAACTCACATAAATGTACAGACTCTGTGCTCCAATATCACTGGCATTTCCTTCACCTCATGTTAAGCACTGACATTTCAGGGCTCAAGGAAATGTATTTTTCATTATAGAACACAAAGTTGTACAACAAAATAAAAGTTTTCGGTCCGTTCATGCTATACATAATTAAATTTGCAGTAGAATAACATAAAATAAATCAATGTATAAATGTACAGTTATTACATTTATTTATATACATACATCCATTTTTTAAATTTGCGTCTGGGGGAGTGTAAACAGCAGCAACCAGATAGTGATAATAATATGGTTTCATCTCCACATAAAGAAATGTCATTTGTGTGTTTCTATACGTTTATGTGCTGTGCAGGTGCTGCTGTATGACCCGTTGTTCGACTGGACCATGAGCCCATTGAAGGCCTTCTACCTGCAGCATGACGAACAGCAGGAGCTCAACGCAACGCTCAGCTCCACTATGGGGGGAGACGACATAGACAACCACCGTAAATCCAGGTGCTGCAGTAGATGATGAAGATGAGCTCTCTTTCAGAGAGTTTTCTGTCTCTCTTAAAGCTCTGTGTCATGACCTTATGCTCTTCCTCCTGCAGAGACAGCCAGAGCTTTAACAAGGTGGCGGAGCGGGTGCTGCTGAGGCTGCAGGAGAAGCTGAAGGGTGTGGAGGAGGGCACGGTGCTCAGTGTCGGGGGCCAGGTCAACCTGCTCATCCAACAAGCCATGGACCCCAAAAACCTCAGCAGACTCTTCCCAGGCTGGCAGGCCTGGGTTTAGAGCTGAGAGAAAGGTACACTTGGGCTGGTTCAGGCAACAAGTGGAAAGTGGAATTTGCACTTTAACAGAACATTAAGGCAATTAGGCAAACTGCATGCAATACTTCTTGCAAAACAAACCAGATGATGATAATGTTTTGCTGCAGTAAAGCATGAATTGAAAAATCCTGAAGACCAATAAACTGTGTGTTTCTGAAATGGAAAGGCCTAGTGTAGGGAAATTGGTTCTGTGTTTTACCCAATGGGATGTGAATGTTTTCACAATGTTGTATGAAATTATTGGCGGTGAATAACCAAAGCTCTTAGCCGTGACTAAATGCCTTATGAATGTGTGACATGCCTTTTAAATAAACTGCACTTGAAATTCCATTTCCATCCCCCATCCAGCAAGGTTTTGATCCAGGTCAGCTGTTTGTTACGTCAGTACTTTTACTATTAAATGACTGAATATGATGTTGTGCTGTAATGCCCTGTAGAGTATCTCTAGAGCATTTAGAAATGTATGATGTATTTAAGGATTTCATCTATTCAACAGCAACTTTATTCCACTTTTTGCTACGTCCATATTCTGTAGAAAACGCTGCTCTTAAACATGATTACTGCATTCAATAAATAAAACTTTGTTGTAAGTCAAGTTTTGTTCAAATTGTCTCTCATTTTAGTTGTCTACTAATTCATTACACGTTAACTTACTCATATAGTGGCTCTTTCTGCATTTTCTGTCAATCATTGACTCAAGTATTGAAGCTCAATGTGTTTGTATACAGTTCATGTGGTGAAGTGCCTTTCCATCGTGTACTCACCGCGCTGACAGTTCAGCAGATAACGCTTGTGGGATGTTTATACGAGGCAACAGTCCTTTTTGTGCTTGTTGTGTGCACAGGAGGGAAACTTTAAACCAATCCCGGTGAAGTGTGAGGAGTGGCCACTCAGACGATTACGCACACTCTTTATTTTATCACGGTGGTGTGAGGATGAGGAGGGCAGAGCAGGGCAAATGTGAGAGGTGATGCTAGAGATCTGAATTTCATCAGAGAGCAGAGCTGTGAAAAATATCTTTTCTTGCTTCAATTGCTCTTGGAGTGGATGTTGATATTGACCAGATTATTCAGACTGATGTTTGAATTATTGCAGTAAGATATTTTTTTTCAACTGCGTCCACCAGGAAACTGTAGGATATTGATGGTTAAGCAGAAAATGACCACAAATCCGGTAAGTTTTTAATTGTATTTATATTAGTTTGAAGAACTTCTTGAAATAGGAATATATATATAAATAGAGTAACTTATTCATACTATAATAGTAATACAAATGTCATAAGTGTAGAAATGTGTGTTAGTAAAAAATTTATGATTTTGTATTGTAACAGTCTCACTTGTACATTTATATTTCTGCCATCATTATAAGCTGCCAGGCTTCGGAAGCTTTATTCTCATCACTTAATACCTTACTGACAGTGTCTGGACTCGGGTCCCTGTCTCATTCGGACAGATGACAAGAGAAAACTTCCTCCACTCAGCCAATCAGATGTTAAGCCTCAATATGTTCATCATCTGGCCCCGAAACCCCCGCCTGAGATCAGCCACTCCATTCCCAAACACAAAGGTAGTCCAATCTCCTTTTCATTTCATTGTATTAGCAGTTTGTACTGTTAATTTGATTTTAATATAACAGTTAAAACAGGAACTCTGTGCAGGCTTTGGGTGTGATTTTTTTCTCAAAGAAAGATTGCAAGCTAATTATGCATTTTTGTAAAATATCCATTAATTTGGACATTAGTTGAAACAAAACAAGTTAATACCCTCATAACTAAATACTGTAGAACTTTTTATGTAAGAGATACAGATAACAATGATTATTCAAATAAATAATCAAAACTCAAAAGTTCCTATATATGATTAAAAATACATTTAATATAATATAATATAATAATTGTATTCCTTTAATAGATTCTAATTATTGTGATGTGTCATAGAGCAGAAGTTTCTGTTAGTAATAGAGATGCATTCATACTGTATGCTTTATACAATAAAGAACAAACATACGGATGTTTTCTTATGATTAAAATGTGCGTTATTAAACACATTACACAAGTGGGTAAGCTGGATGTAAATGGGTTTCCAGTCATGGTGTGTGTGTCGTCCCGTCAGATGTAAAACAGAGGTGTGTGAAGTTCACTGTGGCTGCTGTGATCTCCCTGCTGCTCCTCCTGCTGCTGGCTGGAATCCTCCTTGCTTATTACTGTGAGTGCAGGATTTATCCCCTCTGTCCACTGTAATAAATCATATGCTATTACAACCTTTATGTGGATTGAACCTTTTCAACACACACACACACACACACACACACACACACACACACACACACACACACACACACATACACACCCAGTATAGTCTAAAGTCTTTTCCTCGGTCTCATCTTGTCTCCCAGTCTCCTCACCCTGTGTGCACGGGATGCAGTGTGGAGATGGGGGATGTGTGTGGGAGTCCCAGTGGTGTGATGGGGTGACGGACTGTCCTGCAGGCCAGGATGAAGCTAACTGCGGTAAACAACCTCCTCCAGGGGCCAAAGTGCAGGATAAAACACACCTGAAAACCCTCTGATGTGTTCACTCGCCTTCGTATTTATAAAACGCAGTCTGCTCATCTTTTACAGCTAAAAGGAACACATTGAATAGTGTAAAGTAGCCTTAAATTTAAGAAATTCTGTGCCTGTATTTGTCAACTATGGAGTTTTTCATTGTTTTTCAGTTCAATCATTATATACACTGCTGTTCATGATTACCTCGTAAGAGTAATATGGGCTTACATCAAGGTACCTCAAGTGAAGACTACATAGGATTTTGTTTTCACCAGAGTCTGGCGTGGCTGCCTTCTTCACCTCCTTGTGACAATATGTCAAGTCATTGTTTGTGTTTGCTGTTTGTGCTCAGTGAGGCTGCATGGTTCCACCTTCCTGCTCCAGATCTATTCGACTCAGAGTAGAAACTGGAGGACTGTTTGTTCTCACGGCTGGACAGAACGACAGGGCAGAGCAAGCTGCCAGAATATTGGATACAGCAGGTGAGATGCTCACTGACTGTTTTCTCTATTATTCTGACATGTGAAGGATAAAGGTGTTTTAAATGAAGCTGTATTTTCCACTCTGTGGTTCGACAGGGGCACGTATTTTAAATCAGGCCAGCAGAAGACCGACTCTGATGATGGATTCTTACTTGTAAAGTCTGACTTCAACCCTGAGGCATCCATACTGCAGCAGCTTGTGCTCAGGTTAGTAAACTGGTCGAGGTAAACCTGTATAAAGATGTTACAACTGAATCAATATGAACCTAAATCCATGTCAAATGTCCTTTTTTTGCCATCTGCAGCAATACCTGTCCCAACAACAGTGCTGTGACGTTGCGTTGTACTGGTATGTTAATACACATTGTCATTATACATTGTACAAATATCAACTCGACCCCCACTAAGGATCCACAAAGCTTCATAGGGGGTTACAGGGCCTTCTTGATTTTAAAGTGTGTAGGAAAAATAAAAAATATATCTCAGCATTTGGTTAATTTCTGTGAAGAAAAGTAAATGTAAATTGTCTAATAGATCAATGGCCAAGCATCAGGGACAAGAAAACACTAGATTTGTCAGAAAAGAAGCCTATTAAGTTTGTATCTGCTCAACATTAAACCAAATCACTCATTTCACACAAGCTTCTTGCAGAGTTCACTGTTTGGGTTGATTGTACAGTTTTGAATATAATATGAAAATGTCCATAAAATATGTCACTTAGAGATCTTCAGTGAAACAATAGAAAAGGGTTGGGAACCACTATAGTAGAGGATTTGAGGTTTATTTATTTACATTTTCTTTTTCTGCAGTCTTGTCACAAGAGGGTGGATAGTGGGTCTGCATTTGTGTTAATTTGATGCAGTTGAATGTTTTTAATTTCCATATTAATATAAATATCTAAGACAGAGAAGTTGGAACATCTTGTCTCTGTTTCTGGTAAAATTGTGTGCAGGACTGTGTGTTCCTTGCAGTCCTTTTGATCTCCTTTATGTTGTGTTCTTGTGTTCCCCAACAAATTAAATGTGAAAATGAAATGAAAAAGACTTGAGGCTTTTGCAAAGCTTGATCCTTTGTTGTCTTTAGATGTTTCAAGGTTCAAAACAGGTTTTTTTTCCCCCACATAGGATACTGTAATGTGTTTCTGTTGAAACTGTATGATTATATTATTTATTATATATTTGATGAGATCACTGTATGTTCACTCTCTTCTTTACGGTATGTCTCTATCTATTCACACTATGGTTGTACAGAACTGTGTCCTCTTTTGTACTTGTTGGTAAAAGCAGTGTGGCAGTGAATTGCGTCCTCTCTAACAGCAGTTTTGTCCTCAGATTGTGGCAGTGGGGTGAACTCAAGCAGGGCCTCTGGGGGTCAGCTGGCCTCTGTAGGGGCCTGGCCATGGCAGGTCAGCATGCAGGTTGTGGGCTCTCACCACTGTGGTGGAGCCATCATCTCCCCCTACTGGATAGTCACTGCAGCACACTGTGTAGCCAGGTGAGGCCTTTTCATCATACTTCTTAAAGCAGTGGTTGTGGTCTGAGCCAGCTTGAATCTACTCTCTGCTGTCTCTCCCCCTGCAGGGCCTCTAGCCCTGGAGACTGGGTAGTGTATGCTGGGATTGTGGATCCATTGGGGACTTTGTTCAACCCTGCTTACTCTGTGAGCCGCATCATTGCCCATGAGGGCTACAACAGTCTCACTCGTAGGAATGACATCGCTCTGATGAGGCTCTCTAAACCTCTGGACATCACAGGTACACAGGGGTGCAGTACAATGCAAGTTAATCCCGTTTTATGACGTTTTTTCTAGTATACAAAGAGGTGTTTATGTTATTTAGCCTCCCCTCATTGATACAAATGGGGTGTACAAAATAATACAAACACCTGTCAGTATAGCTACATCCTTTAAATTGATCATATAGTTGAACCAACACCTCATTTTTACCTTCATGATTTGTTGCTGTGTGTATATCCCTTATACTGTGGAAACCAGCTGATGAATGTATACATCTGTGTCCAGAGAGCTCAGAAGCTGTAAAACTCTGCACAATGTCACCTTTGTCATAAAGAATACATTTTTTTCTCTTTTTAAACTTTAAATAACAGATATATTCTTTTCTCTGGTAGCCTCCAGTAACATTGGACCTGTGTGCCTCCCAAATGTTGGTCTGAACATCACTGATCACCAGAAGGGCTGGATAACACAGTTTGGTGAAATAGTAAATGGAGGTGAGACTAAATATCCGAAATTAAATATAAAGATTAGATATTTAGTTTTCACATGTTTAAAGATTAAAGCATTAGTGTCTACTGCAGTCTGCCTGTGTGTGTCTACCACTGGATGGCACTCTAACTCTGTTTTACTTGCTGGTGTTTTTACTACAAATACAGTGTGTATGAGCAAACACTAAAGTTACTTAAATTAAATACATTATTTCAATATCTTGTCATTTGACAGGCTCTCAGTACCTGATGGAGACTCAGGTCTCTCTCATAGATACTGCAGACTGCAACAGCTCCATCGCTTACAATGGCAGGATATCACAGGACATGTTATGTGCCAGAGAGACGGACGCAGTAGCCTACATGTGTCTTGTAAGACAAACAAGAGACTCAAACACTCACACACAGCCTCCTCTTTTTGGTAAAGGTGTAAAGATGAAGTTTAAATACTAAAACCAACAGAAATAAAATATTTACATTGAACAAAGAGCAGTTTGTTTTATCGTATAGTGAGCACCAGGCGATTGCAGTGTGACTGCTGACAAACGGCCTGCAGGGTTAATATGTTTAGGCATTAGCTGCAAATACATTCTTTTAATACAGACTGAAGAGATCCTACAGGAAAGAGTACTCAAATAAATCAGTGTTCACTAATGAAGCAACAACAAACACTCTTTATAATGAGACGCTTTCTGGTACGATTCAGTTTTTCTTGCACAAATTGAGCAGTGACATAAAAATAGTTTGTGTTCTTGAAAGAATTCAAAGCATTTTCATGCCCTTATGTAATTTGCTCTGAGGCAAAGTAAAAACAAGACCTGCACTGTATTCTACATAATAATCTGTTCCACTTTGTGAATTATAACAAACCATTTATACAGTCGAGTCAACAATGAATGTAAAGTTGCAACCCTGAGGTGGCAGCTGACCATGATATCATGTTTTATTTAAACTATTCAGTGCTTTTCATGGACCTTGAAAGACCTTAAATGCTTTTTAAACTGAATGAATAACATTTAAATTTCACCCAAAAAAATCACTGTAAAGCCCTTGAGACTGAATGTGTGTGTTAAATGTCTAAAGTTGTTGTTCATAAAAACTCACCCAGTTTTGTGCTGAACTCTTTCTCAGAATGACAGCGGTGGTCCTCTGGTGTCCCTGAAGGACGGAGTATGGTGGCTCTTAGGGGACAATATCTGGGGGGAACACTGCACTGGGCAGAAGAGACCAGGTGTTTACGGCAACGTCACCTACTTTCTGGACTGGATCCACCACCAGATGAGGGTAAAAACCAAAGAAGGATTGGACTTGTAAAGGCAGGATTCCCATGCACTGTATGTGCAGATAATTTGTAGCATTTGATTTAATCTGCTTGGAGGACCAGATGCAGTAAGAAGGTTTATCTGTCTGGTGCTCCAAGTAATACTGCTTGACTTATGCTGGATAATCAGCAATAATACCTAGTTTTATCTTTATCTTTCTTAATCATGCCTGTAAAAATTCTATTGACAAGTAAAAGGGATAATCCAATTGGTCTTCGGCCTGCTCTCCCTGGGCAAACTATATGGTTGGTCTCATTCTTGCTAAGCTAAAAATAACATTGTTGTGTGTTCACCATTTAACTGAAAATCCATCAGCGACCGTTTTGATAATTGGATTTGTGGCTAAACAAAAGTTAAAACATTACTTTGGGCTTTGGTCATCTGTCATGATAATTTATTATTATTTAACGTTAAATGATTAAAAGCATTTTAAGTAATAGCTGCAGTATTTACCACTACATTATATGTACAATAACAAAAAACTAATTGTATTTTTTTTGTCTGTTTACAGAAGCATCAAGAAGACTGATGACAGGACCAAAGATGAACCGTGTTGGTTGTTGTTGTTTAGTTTATGATCTAGTTTTTTGCCGAGATAAATTTTTATAAATATGCCTCAACAATCTCTGTATCACTACCATAACTTATTTACTACGATATAAGTTATGTGTCTTCTGATTTACATCACTGTTGATGCAGGTTTAATGCAATAAGCTCCAATGACCAATGTTTTCGTATTATCTCTTTATAACAATCTGTTTTATTTTTGTATATTTATGTGAAATATATAACGTCTTTATTTTAGGCTATATGGCTGGAACTGTTTCATTTGTATTCATGGTGAACTTTGAGCCAGTGAATACCATGGCTCAACACAAGATGTCGCTCACAAACCACATCAAGCTCGTTCCCACCGACTCCCAAAGCATGCTTTGTTCCTGAGTAACCGTTCACAAAAAGAAATATTTATTCATTTAAAATGATTTACATCTTTGATTTGACAAGTTATTTTGTTTACACAACAAGTACAATTTTGGCACGGAAAAAATACACTTATAAATAAGTGAACATTTAATTTGACAATTTTACAAACATTTTGGCAGATGGTGACGTATTGGTGCAGCTTAATGACTCATATCACTCAAGACTTTTACATATGAAGCCATCACTAGTGTGAAAAGAACAACTGTTTATTGCTAACAGGTCGGTGAGTTTCGCTGCAGTCCACAGGCACCCCAGAGGGAGCATGTGTATCCAGTGGGTCAGTTTCAAAAATCCTTTGGCCTCTACTTTACTGTTTGTATAAAATGTACAGTATACATATGTTCCATTCAACATCTAGTGTCTAAAAAGCAAAGATTTGGACTAATAGTACATTCAAAAAGATTTAAATATAAAGTTGGATGCATACAGAATTAGTAAAATTACATTAATACAATAAATTGCATAACAGATCGAGAAATATTGATCTTTAGATTTATATTACACTTTAGACTGACTGAAACAAGTGCAAGTCAGTACAGTAAGTCTCAACACTGTAAATTATACTGTATACTAATATACTAATACAGTATATCCATTTGTATCAGCAGTGAGCTGAGACTTAAAGGCACTACAGGCACTGTAAACGTGTGTAACCTCTATTAATATTTTTCCTATGAACAGTGATTGAGCAGCTTTTCCTCTTACTTTAACACACACACACACACACACACACACACACTAACACACACACACACACACACACACACACACACACACACACACACACACTAACACACACACTAACACACTAACACACACTAACACACACTAACACACACACTAACACACACTAACACACACACACACACACCTCACTCCATAGAAGACTGGAGCTTAACTTATTAACTCCAGAAACATTCCTTCATTGATCGCAGAGTTAAAGTAGATCTTTAAAAAGATCTGTGGGGAGCAGATTATTAACTGTAAAGGCACATTTTAGGAGGTTGCATGCCCTTAGAAATTTACAATTAAACAACAGTTTGCCTGGAAATAAAATCAGTAACTTGCAAGTCGTTCATGAATACACCAATGGTTGTTGAGCTTGTGCCATTTATGTCCCCACCCACTGTCCTGTGATTGTCTGTAAGGAAGAAATTCCACCCTTAACCATTTCCATACCGTTATGCATCACTGCTGGTGTGTGTAGGGAGTTACTTTGTGATAAAATGTTTCATACTTCAGTTCACCCTTCTATTTGTGTTAGTGATATCCTGTATTTCCCAGAATACATTTTGACGGCCCTAAAAAGAACAAGCCTGAACCTGATTTGAGCGCTCTCTCGAACTGAGTCAGTGTAATACGTATGCAAAACTGATAGCATTACAAGTCTTCCCAGTTGAGAAGGTAAGTCATACCCATTTCTAAAAAACCTCCCTGTAGCTACATGACATTATGAAATTTTAAAGCAACTGTCAGTTGGGAAATTGGACCCGTTCTTCTTCTTCTTCTTTGCTGGATGTGTTTCTCTGTGTCAGTGCCTACATATGACATGACCAATTATCAGTGTGAATAAAAAAAAATACACGACCAAACGAGACATTGGAACTATAAATACACCACCAACAGAAGTGCTTTTAGGGTGAATTTTCCCTTCAAGAAGCAGCTGATCTGTCCGTGTCCATGGGGCAACCTAATGAGTGCAGTCTGGAGTCATTCAGACATTCAGAGCCGAGGGTTATTGTTCGGTGCGGGCCGAGCCTCACCCCTTTCTCCACCGCTGTGGATGGGCTCTGCTCGCCGTTCCCCTGCCTGTTCACCCTGTCCGCCTGTCCACTTCCTCTCAGTCACTTGATGCGGTGGCGGACCAGAGAGGACTCGTCCGTTATCTCCCCGGAGCGGTCTCTGCGTCGACAGGGCAGCACCAGCAAGAGCAACAGGATGATGAGGACCAGGGCGCAGACTGCCATCAGGGCGTAGGAGATCACCCACAGGAGAGGCTCCTTCAGCATCCCGCCAGAGCAGTTGGCCGCCACGTCCGCTGCTGAGAAGGGCCCCGCGATCTCCGAAAGAGCCACCCCACCGCTCACTGCACAGAAATAAAAGACAGAGTTATACAGTTAAGAGAGATATAAAACGTCAACTGTATTAAGATTAAGCTTAGATTTACTTGTGGCAGCTTCTTAAAACAACAGTTGTCTTAGACTCGCGGCAATAACTGAAGTAAACGTTATTTGCTTTATTCTAGTTTTCTCTGTCTAGATTTTACCAGCCAGCTGAGGAATTAGAGCTGGCAACCTTACTGTCACAAGCCTGCATCCTTAACCTTCAGCCTACATCTGCTCCAAGTCTGTTTGCTTAACTTGGAAACAAAAGTGGTCTTTGTACTTTAGGAGTGGGAGGCCTTGCCTAAGCTCATATGTGCACATAACTACAGGGAAGTACCACTGTTTGAGGTCTCACATTTGCAGTTCAGGTCATAATGAACGGATATTCTCAAGGTCTTGGTCAGTGAACTGAAGCATTGTTTAATAGTAACACTTTACAGTTTGCTTTTCCGTAACTTATCAATTAATCAGGGCACTTTATGGACTTCCTGACTGTGATCTTTACGTTACATCTCTTGAAGCAATATCATCAGCATTATTTGTAATAGATGAACATTGAAGAAACCATGCTAGAGATTAAACCTGTAGCCCTTTCATAAAAGCTTTAATATTTGCTGCTCTAAGCAAGCTTTTAAATACATACATAGAAAACAGAATAAATCTGAGCAGCTGTAGCAGACTTTGAGTGTATTTATTGCTACTTCATCCTTACTCACAGATTACCATCCAAATCAATGTTTTCAGATACACAGTGAACCAATTTATTAACATCAGCTGACAATGTTTGGACACATGATATGCTATATGATGTTTTACATACTTTCCTGTCTTAGTCTTTTACATATCCTCACCTGCACAGCTGCTGAGTGCGAAGCCCAGTCTCCGCTGGGCGCGGTCGAACACCACGTAGAAGCCTTCCATAACGGTAGCGCCGATCACCAGGCCATTAGCTGACGAAGACACTCCGAAACGGAAGCAGTCTAATGTGCCGTCCACGTCTGTGATTGGCTGGATGTACATCTGCAAGACAAAAGACATCAATAGAGAGGAAGAAGGAACGACAAGAGCTTGTGGCCCTTAGGTTGATGGAGAGCTGTGTTTATGTTTATTCAGGTACCTGAGGCAGGATGGTGATGCGGAAGGACTGGCTGGTGTTTGTGGCCCTTAGGTAGATGGACAGCTTGGGGAAAAACCTCCAGGGGGTCTCTCCCTTCATCCAGCATGCAACCTTGGTGCCATCCCAGAACCCTGAAGAAAAATCCTGGATCTGAACCAAAAGAGGAAAAAACACATAAGAGGAATTGACAGAGAGAGACAGAGACAAACAGAAAGAAACAGAAGGTCAGTACAGCACCAAAACAGGTTTTGCTGTTCTCTTTCATTTTGCCCACTTGGGATTAATCTACAAAGATGTGGGTACATTAATTGCAAACGTTGCTTCCAGGTTCAAATTAACCTTGAGTACTGTTTGTGTGCGGTTACAAAAAGGTGAATAATGTGTAAAGTAGAATCGGTTGGGGAAAAAAAAAAAAAAAGCATGGGCGAACATATTTTTATAGCAGAAAAAACCTGATCCTTCCTCTCAAATATACCATGTCCTTGAACAGTGAGTGTGCTATCCTCCCCTGCATCTCTTTGCTCTGACAACATGTTTCATCATTGTCTGTGGAGAGAAGGCAACGTACCAGAGAGCTGCGTGTGATGGCTTCTACCACCGCATTGAAGACGTTGACAGGAAGACGCAGCAGTGTCGTCCCACTGTCAACTATAGCTTTATCCATGTTATACTGAAAGAGAGGGAGAAAGAGTGAAGTGCAGTAGGAGTTTTCTCACTTCAACAGGCTCCTATGGAAGACCTTGAGGCAAACATAAAATACAGAAAATGAGGAAGTTCTTTCACAAGCAGAAAAAATACCAAACAGACTACATTCCTTTGCAGTATGGCTAGTCTGTTTCATTTCTGTGTTCTAAGAGAATGAATGTTGTACCACCAGTATTGCTTTTCTGCTTCAAATATTTACTGGCATTTAATGTAAATCTGTCAGTGTTTCCTCTATGTAGATTTTGGAGCGGCGGCCCGCTGCTGTTAAATTTCTGCCGCCACGGTATCAGAAATGGGACAGACGCACAACTAACAGCTCCACCAAAAACGTCACCGCGGTGGGTCTGTTTTAATTGGACAACGTTCAACTTGTCAGTTCTCAGCTCAACGTCCTGATATCAAACATCTAGAAACATTAAAACGGTAAATATATTCGTTTGTGTCGCAGCGAAGTGTCAGTTCTGTTTCATACGTAAAACGTTTGCCGACGGGGTTGTTCGGACGGGCCTGCCCCCACTGCTAAAAAACTGCTAAAAAAGTGTTTCCTAGAGGTAACACTGTCTCTTCATGGTGATGTTTGAGATAATTATGGAAGCAATGCAGTGAGTTTGAAGTTTACCTCTCTGCAGTCCAGGTCCAGATTCTGGTCGCCAACCTCCAGCTTCAAAACCTCCACTTGGTAGTACCACTCCTCTACTATAGGGGTGTACCACACTGACCCCCGATACAGAGTTGGTTCGGCCCCTCCCATGATCTGAGGAAGGAACAAACATACTTCACTCATGTGTGGGTCAACTGTGACCAAAACAACACAGTTTATGTCCAACAAGAGCCTAGCAAAGGTTTATCCCTCCACATTTGGCAGCACACACACACAGACACACACAGACACAGACACAGACAGACACACACACACACACACACACACACACACACACACACACACACACACACACACACACACACACACACACACACACACACACACACACACACACACACACACACACACACACACACACACACACACACACACACACACACACTCCCTGCCATCTTATCCATCTGTCTGGATCAGTGGGTCACATGATGGAGATGCAGTGAGCGAGGCACCGAGGCCGCTCGTATAAACGTGACAGACCTGCTCTCAGTAGGATACTATCTTAGCTTAATTAGCTCCTCTCTAACTAGACTTGGCCTCCAATGGAGAAACCACATTGACGAGGAGGATACAAGCTATTAGGTTTCTAAAACGCTGCTATGTCTGAGCCACCAGTGGTGGACTTTATTTTGTCTGAGGAGTACTCAAGCACATCCCAGTCCTCAATGAGTGAAGCACATAATTGATACTGTGCATGTTAAATAACTCCAGACACCTACTGTATCACAAAAATACACAATTAGAGGCAGAAATCATTTATGTTTAGGTCAAAAGTCTTTACAACCAAAGCTTATTTACAGCCCCTCCTGACTACTCACAAGACTGCCTCCCACTGGGTCCACTGTGCTACTGGCTGACAGTCCAGCACCGCACATCTGGAGGGAAAAGATGTCAGGAATTCCCAGCTGTTGCACCAAAGAGTTGAAGAAGGGCTCCACAGACTTATCAGGCTAATTGAGAGACAGGAGATGTGTAATCATTAATTCCTGTTAATCCATTTTAAGCTTTTACATTTGCATTGGAAGCTTTAAGATTGTGTGATTATCCAGACTGACTTTTCCAACCAATAACATAAAGTACAAGTTTAGAAAACATGAATAAAAAAGTGAATTCTAAAAGTACACAACTGAAATGAAGTCTTAAAGTCTGTAATAGGGCTTTGGGAGTAAGAAGGACAAGAATAAATACCCTGGTTGCTGCTATAACAGATATCTGAAAAAGGACTTGACCCTAACCGTTTTCCCCATAGGTGATATTGTTGACAATTCTTTCTCCTGATTAGGTAGCCAAACTTGTTGAACATGTATGGCTACTGTTAAAAGGAAGTTTTTCCTTGCCACTGTTGTCAAGGGTTTGCTCATGGTGGGAATTGTTGGGTCTCTGTAAATCATTTTGTAGGGAGTATAGTCTAGACCTGCTCTACCTGAAAAGTGTCCTGAGATAACTTCTGTTATGATTTGGCACGATACAAATAAAACTGAATTGAACACTTAAATCATTATCTGTCTGCCTGTGGAACTGAACAAAGGTGCACTTAAAAAATGAGAGATTAGCAAAGTTAATCCCTGACAGGCTAATAGATATTCAGACTTTAAAATTTGTATTTTTTGCTAATGTTAACAGAAAAAAACTAAACTTTTTTTAATGAAGTTTTAAGACACAAAGAGTTTAAAAAGGGTAGTGTTATATTATTGTGTTACAGTGTTATAATATTAATATTCGGACCACTGTGTGTACTATGTGTGTATGCGTGGACTGGCGTAAACTGTACGAGACAGCAGTATGCTCCTTGACAAAAGGATGTTCTCTCTGTTTTCCTCAGATGCATTTCCATGTCAGTGCTATGATACCATGTCACGCATGACAGACAGCCCTCAGGCAAGATCAGCCTGAGCACTCTGAAGACGCTGGCAGCACAAAGTGGTCAGTGTGGCCATATCTGCCCTTCAATCACTGGCATTTGATCCCAAAGGTTGCTGTAGTCAGCACAGAATGAAAGAATGTATTGTGTTGGTTTAAGCTGACGTCACTCTCTTCCCATCGACACCAAATTATCACGTTAAAGAAAAGTGGACACCGGGCGAAGCACCTTGGTTCTGTGCGTCTATCATACATACATAGCATGTTCTTGTACCTGAATGTAATTGACTGAAAAAAAAAAAAAACTTTGAGAATGAGCTTCTTCTACACTAAATTTATTTTGAATTTTTTAAATTCTAATACATTTCTAATGAAGAGACTAGATAATTACGTGTAGTTTTGTAGTTCATTAATTACCTTATGACAAACCTAATGGACTGAAGTGGTACAATATGTTGGGTAATACTTTTAAGTTTTTTAATTCAGTGTAAAAAATGAAATTAACAAATATTCCTGTGAAGAATGATACAGACTAACGAATGAGAGCAACGTAAGTAAATTAAAGTGGGGATATTAAAAAAAGAAACGGCATCACACCCTTGGTTGCTGAAAATAAATCATGAACACGAAACTTTTCTGTTGTCATGTGAAATGTCCATGACTACACCCAGATAAGATCTCAGTTTGAGAGGTTGTTCAGTGCTGTAAAAAAGATGTGGGACAGTAGGAAGTTATGCTGTACTGCTTGATTAACTTGATAAAGCCTGATATTATCAAGTTTCCCCTCTGTGCGCACAGCATTTTCTAGACAAAATATTCTCATTTGTCCGTTTCTTGCATGTTTTTCAAATGTTTTATAAACTTCATATAAAGGTTATACAAAACATTTACTTTAAACATATGTTATGATATCCTTTACAAAGTATGCACAAAATACTGTATTGAACTCATTTATATTTTTCAGAGTAAATTTACTGTTTTCATACTCAACATCAAATCAGTGAGAAGGAATTTAAGCTTTTTCAACAAATACTGCGATTTAAGATTTTAATTTTTTTCTCTCACCCGTGCCAGCATGGGATAGGCCAGTCCCAGGATGCCCTGCCAGTTGACCCCAGGAAGGAAGAAGCTGTCAGATGACAAGATGGCAGCTATATTGATGATGATGGTCCCATTTGGGCCTTTGGGGATGGACACACGGTCAATGCCCAGTTCGCCTTCCCAGTTGCCCTGGGTGTACCGGACAGCCACAGTCCGGCCATCTGACTGGTAGGTACTGGAGCTAAATACAGGGGAGGAAGCCAAGACGTGTGAATAGAGACAAAGGCCTGTGGTGGGTACATAAATATTATTATTATAATATATTTATGCAAAAAGATAGTAATTACATAGCAAAGATTATTTTATTAATTCACCAGTATAGACAAGCTATGAACATACATTCTTTCTGTGAAAAGCTAACATCTCTGATACATTTATTCAATAGCTTACGTCTTTGTCATGAGAGACTGTGGGTGATAAAGAGTAGACAAGGTAACATAACTACATTAGAAAACTATATATATATTGGAATGACATTTCCAATGGCTGGATTACACAACGTGTTTCAGTCACTCACAGTTCAGTGTTGAAGTAGTGAGTAATGAATGGGTGTGGAGCCGCCGCCACAGCAAAGTTACTGCTGCCTGTATCCACCAGGATGTTCAGCTGAAACACACAAGGCAGAGTTTTCTTTAACAGCTATTAGATATCTGTTACAAGACAACCACACCCTAACTTACAGAGTTCTTGAGTCACAGGGTAAAATGACAGCTGTTGAATAGTGTGACACGTTGATAAGAAGACTTTAAGCTTTTTAAATGCAACTAAGACATTGCAGCTACTGTTTGTACAATAATACATAGAGGAGGAAAAAGAAGTTGGAGGTGAACAACAAAATTCCTTACAGTAAATAAAAACACAAACATGATGAAGAAATTACACTGGAAACAGCGAAGTGAGGAAAGTCAGGAATGTACACTTGATACAAAAAACTGACAACTCATTGAAACTTATCTGAAAAATCCATATTGGAGTTCATCAAGACATACTACTGGTATGTCTATTGTTTATGTTTGTTTGTGCTTGTACAGCAAAAATGTGCTGTGTGGCATTATTACACTGGACAATGAAAGACAATTTTGTTGCAGGCTAATTATTCCTTTGAGTAACATATTTTACTCCAAACTGAGGTGAGGTGTGCACTGTACAGCTGTATTATATAGCATATGAAAACACTATGGGACAAAAAATCCCTGACTGGAGTATCCCTAATTTCTAGAGAAACGAGCTTTGCCACTGAGCAAAAATTACTATGCACCTCTGAAATAATTGCTCTCTAATGTGTGATCTATGAGTCAAACACGACAGCCTCCAGCTACTGACATGACCGTATGACCCATCCAGCCATCTTGGTACGTGTCATGTGGACAGTGGGGACCAGCTAACAGCAGTTAAGATAATGTTGTCTTCCAGGCATAGAGTCAACGAGCAGGAACTAATTAGTCAACCGACTTCTGTCACCTCACCTCCGCTACTGAGCTGGGCCACATTAACACTCACCAGCAAGCATTCCTCACCATGATGGGGTCATAAACCTAATGCCCCACAGCCACCTGATGACTCAACAACAAAGAGGTCTATATGGTGGCACTTCAGTGATGTCACATGACACAGTGAAAATACTGAGTGTTCATTGAGCATGCATTCAGCTGCAGAGGCACAAACAGTAACTCCAACAATCAGTCTATCGTCACTCCTGTCTGAGCCTTTGTTTTTAGACAAACCAGACCAACAGGAAGCTGTTTATCTAAAATGTTAGGCAAACAAACAAGGAACATAAAACAAATCCACTTCCTCATGCTCGGCTCCCTTAAGAACTCCAGCCGATCACATTAAAACCAAGACTAACTAGAGCCCGTTCACCGAGTGCATTAAGTCATTATGAAACGATTGAAATAAATATGAATAATAATTAAAAAGAAAGACAAAAAATGTATGTATCTATGTACATATAAATATAAATAATTATCAAAAATGTCTTAAAGACCCAGTTGGCAAGTCCAAGAGAGTCAGGCTTATCAGTTCCTCCTCATTGCACAGGCCCTGGTCCCATCACTGTGGCTGTGCCATCTAAAATCCCACTGCTGCCTTCACTGCTGCTGGCATCAGTCCATTCACACAAGGTCTGAACCGGCCAAACAGGCCAGATTGGAAAACACTGGAACCTCGTGGTGAAGGAGGGGAAGCAGGGGCATTTCCTTATCCCCACACTGCCTATCTTTTCTAGTCACACTATCCTCCCTTAGCTTGGCTGCTGAGCCTCAGGCAAATCTCTTCCTCCCGCTGCTGTGGCAGCCTGCAATCGCCCGCAGTTGAGCGTTCACTGTCTAATTGGCAGTGGCTCCATGGCGGCAACGTGCATCTGCTACCTGTTTGTACCAATTAGCAGATGTGAGGCTCTCCAGCCGACACCTCAGCCTGGCTGTGCCATATGCTAACAGATGCGGCAATTAGTGGCTCATTTGAATAGTGCCTCATTTAACACCACAGCCCTGTAATAACATCATCATTTAGTTGGAATAATATCGAGAGTATAACTCAATAGTATTGAGTTACAGGACATTTTGGCACTGCATAACCAATTTGAACCAAAGTGGATTGAGCTCTGCAGGCATGACTTACTGATATGAAGGTTTCACTGTCACTATGCACAGAGTACAGGAGTGTAACGGCTGCAATATCAGAGGAGGAATATGACGCAAGTAATATTTGTTTAAAAACATTCAATGTTTACTTCTTCTGTTGTGTAAAAAGCAAGTCACCTGACACTGGTCCCAAATACAGTAGACACTTTCCACAGCTGTCATTTTGACATGTCATTGCATTAACACTTATGGAACTGAGCCATCGTTAGCGTTATAAAATTGTACCTGTGCGTTTCCTGCTACGACAAGTCAAAATGTCTACATCTATTAATAATCAACAGGTGAGGCAACCTTGACACTGTTATTGCGGTGTCATCACAGATGTCTTACATATATACCATAGTGTAGTGTAGTGAAGCCTGGTGTACCACTCGCTCTCTAAGCAGTCTGAGGAAGGACTTTTCTCCTTAGAGCAACACCGTAAACTGTAGTGTTGTAGAACAGCACATATTAAGCTATTTTACAACTTTGGGCTGGTTGTAAAGTTGTGTGTGAACTGTGCTCTTACAAGTGCAGCAACATTATCCTTTCTGAGGTTGACACAGGGCAGTGACAAGGCAGGCAGCACTGATAAGCCTCTGTGAGCCTGAGAAACTCAGCTGTGCCACCCAAGAGTCTTAAAAGCTCTGATCTGTTTAACTTGAGAGGCCCAGGAACAACAGGTCAAATCACTAATGAGATAATTCACCTTTAGTTTAAGCTCCATTTCAAACACATCTACTTACAACACAATGGCAAAGCATAGCCTTAAACCTACAACACCCTAAAGTGTAATGTATTTTTAATAGTGACAGGGAGAATCCCTCTTCCAACTCTTCCGGGACCATTTAGACCCTCTTAATCATTAATATGATCTTGTTAGGCACTTTACATAATGAGCAATATAAAATGATGACAATAAATTACACAGGCATATCTCCGTGAAACCAAAAGAAAATAAGCAGCAAATATGCCTGAATGAGGGCAGTTTTTGTACAACTCTGGGGCTGCTCTTTGCTCCCTGCGAGCCTCATAATCCCCGTCAGCTGCCTGGTAAGAAAACAGTGGTCCTCACAGGCAGCATCATGTGAGTGCATGTGAGCGGGGGTTTAGTCTACCTACAGACCCCAAGGCTGTAAAGACTTGAGCCAGCTGCTGCACCCCACAGCCATGATACTATCCTGCCATAATGGTCCCAGGCAGACCTGGAAATTAACAGCTGATTTTATTTTATACAGATTGTGCTAGTAAAATATTCCAGGCTCATCTTCCCATGATCAGAGTCTGGGTTTTTTCCCCCTGCTGTTGGCGTCATATCAAACAGTTGTTAAGTTGAAACTTTCATGTCATGATTATCTCGGGCCAAAATAATTGCGATACACAATATTATCACGATAATTCTGAAAATATACTTCATACTTGGCACTAAAACATACTGGAATTACTTTACCTTAGATTTTTCTGATAGGCACCTCGTAGTTTTGACTCTATACTAGTTCCACACATCCAGTTTAACCTGTTTTTGTGGGGGGATATAACAGGTAAACTGAGCCTTCAACCAGGTTGGCAGGTTTAGGATTTGAGGAATGACTGGAAGACACAGGCTCCTCCTTGTCCCCTTCTTCACAATAAATAAGGAAATCAATATAAAACTGTATGCTAGTGAGCTAGACAGCGTCTTCAAGTCAAGCCATTTGAGGATACTGACGATTATCACGGTAAATTGATCTGATAGGCGATACACAATATCGTACATAGTCCTATCCTTAATTCAAATATCAGATCTTGCACAGGTAGGTAGGTAGCCAAGACCCTGGGGTGAAACAAACACACCCCAGCCCCCTGCAGTGGATCACATGGTGGACAGACCCTGTTCGCACACAGCAGACACAACAGACTTGCCATCAGGGAGTGAAACCACATGACAATGACTAAAAAGTAAAGTAGAAACACAAAAGAAAGGAAAGAAATGGGTACTTTTCTTCTTCTTTTTTTTTTTAATCCATACAATTAAGTGAGACTAACCCTTCTGAAAACCACCTGCACAAATGATCAAACACCAGATATGCAAACAATAACAGTGTTTGTGATAAGATTAAATTACCTTTTGACCAGGAGTACCAATTGACATTTCTATGTAGTAGCCTCTTCCAGAGTCCCCTTGCAGGTTGTTGACCATGTCCAGAAAGTTCACTGTCCCGGTCGGATCAGAGGCCAACGAGAGGCCGTTTCCATCCGACGTTAACGCCACTTGCCGAGTCAAATTCACAGCCGAGGATAAATTGTACTTTCCTGGGTATATTTTTAATGGTATAGCAAAGTAGCACTTGGACAAGCCGAAGCATAAACTAAAAGCAAATGCCCAAAGCGAAAGAGAGGCAGTGCATGCCATGGCGGTGTTAGTTACTATAGTGATAACAGGGAAAAGTCTGGGAAAAGACTCCTCGCTCAAAGTTTGCTATCTATGTTAAGTTTTCAGTTTAGCCATCATCGAAACGCCCGTGCCGCGGTGACCGCCATCATGGAAACGCTGTCTCTCCACCGTCAAAAAGAAACTACACATACTGACATGGTAACACAGTATGACTAAAACTGAAAACAACACTTTATCTGCAGTCGAGGGACTTCCACAAGTCCACTGCGCCAACGGTGTAAAGTTCGTCGGAGCAACAAACGCGACTTCCGGTTATGTTAACCTTCAAAGTAACGGGGAGGTAAATGGTTATTGTTTTTGTAACGTAAAAGCATTGGGTAGGCACATGCGCCACCTACGGTATTATATAAAGGAATTAAATCATACAATATTTTACCGAATATACCATGAAAATGTATGCGAATATAAGTTAATGAATTTGTTCACCTTCTTCAACTCTTTTTAACACTCTTATTTTGAAGGCAAAGCGGCCTAACCGTTGGTGTTATCTCTACTAGATTGACGCTGCTGTTTAAAAACTTCCTGGATGCCTGGTGAGATTTTAACTAAGCATGGATCTGAAGGACTTCCCACCACAACTTGGTTTGATGTGAACACGCCGGACAAGCAACACATGTGTGTGTGTGTGTGTGTGTGTGTGTGTGTGTGTGTGTGTGTGTGTGTGTGTGTGTGTGTGTGTGTGTGTGTGTGTGTGTGTGTGTGTGTGTGTGTGTGTGTCTATTCTTTTAACACTGTGACAAAAAAATCCGCATTGTTCCACAGAGTTTGCTTCGCTTAATGTGTCCGCGTTTACAGTGCAAATCCAATTCTCTGTACTCGGGCCAGAGCCTTTGGTTGTCTTGTTATGGTGGTCTAGTATTTAAATTTGTTCAGTCACAGAAAGCAGAGGAAAGGTAATTCCCTCATGCTTACAGTAGAGACTCAATATTGCAATCAGCTAAAGTTATAAAATCTGTATCTCAGTTGAAAAGTTTGTTGGGGTATTAATGAAGTTGATAGTCCAATATGGCAGCGAATATTTTATTAAATAACTAATGTCTCACTTGCATTATAAGTGTTTTCCAGAAGTGCTTTTTTGTCTTATATAGAGATTATTAATATATTTTTAGTGGGATGCATCAAAAAAAGTACATATTTAGTGAGATATCACTGAAAAAGATTATTTTTAAGACACTTTAGATATGTCTCTCATACAATTTTAATGCTAGCAAGATATTTGTCAAATTGTGCATATTTTCTTGTAGAGAGGTGATATGGTTTTTCTCTTTTTTAACTTTTTTTCAGTTGTATCATTTTAAAGAATATATTGTAGAGTACAAAACCCCAATGATATTTTAAAATGTTCAGTATTTCACACTGAATAACTATACATTAGGCCATTATGATGACATTTAGAGTTTGTATTATGAGTTATTTAATCCATTAAAAACTATGGAAGCCTATTCTGTTGCATCACATGTAACACACACCACATGCAACACAAACTCCTTTCAAGTATCAAAATCAGTGTTGCACACTGGTTCTATTGCACACACATAAGCTCAGTATGATATGACCATATATTATTTGAAGCCTAACGCAGAGGTGTTTTTAAAGCACTCATTTACTCCCATTGCATGTAGCCAACACATGAAGATCAGATTAGTTTACATTTGAATGGAAGTCATCCAAAAAGAATGCTAATCAGCATTAATATAGCCTATCCAACAATCACATGCATTTCATTCAGTAAATGCCTCTGTAGTTCATTGTGCTGCTGGTGAATGAGTGTCCATACAAAATTGGGAGTAATAGTAGCTCTTGTATAGATAATGGGTATTAGAAAAGACATTAAAGAAACTGAGATGTTTTTGTTCTTTGCATGTTTCTGCCAAGACATTCTCATTTGCCGCATTGACAGTGCAGAGAAAGAGGAAGAAGATCCCAGTGGTAAGGCGAGATCAATGTCACAGGCCTTCTCCATGCTGCCTATTTCACACAGACAACCACTGTCTCGCTCTGAATTCCTCATGAGTCCACAGTTACACTGTCACATGTTCACCCCATCTCCCTCTCCCTCTCTGTTTCACTCGGTCTCTCTCTCTCATTGAAGTCGATCACTATAGTTACAATAACCTGAATAATGTGGGGAAAGGCTGTGACCACAAAAAATCTTCTTTCCGGTGTATTGCTTGTCATGCACTGGGTCTTGTGAATGACCCATTTAAGCACAATTCCTGTTTCTTCTTCCCTGTGACTTTGAGACACTTCCTGCCTATAGAGTATAAAACCAGGGGGAAGCGGGAATGCATCGTTTACTTGTCTGTCCATGAAACACAGTGAATCCAATGGTTGATCATGTGTGTTATACTTGTTCTGGCCCATGAACTAATTTTAAGTACCAATACAATTCTTAGATCCAGAAATTAGAGGCCTGTGAAGTTGTATTTGTTGTTTTCTTCTAAGATATACTGAGCCTCAAATGAATATGGTATATGATAGATATAAAATGTAATATTTTATCAAGCAAATATAATTCAGATGGATCAAAACATGTCATAAATATAATTTATGATCATGATAATCATTGTGTGATGGTGATCAGTTAGCATGAAACAAAGGGGTTACTATTGACTTAAGTTTATCCAAAGTGTTTTGTCCAGGCAATGTGAAATAAAGTCACAATTACTGTTTTCTTAATAGCATTGGTTTGTAATGTGCCAGTAGCGTTATATCTGTTGACTCAGTAGTATTTAATGCCTCCGTGCAGCTTCCTTTGCAGTTCCACTGATGGCCACAACAAGGCACTCCATACCATCCCTGTGCCTTTAATCCAGTCTGAGGGCGCTGTACCATCTTCTGTGTGTGAGCAAATTAGGCAGCTTAGGAGGGCCAGTGGTCCTACATTTGGCTGTGCAAAGCTTCTTTACTGGGACATTGGTACTTAATCCTCACAGCTCTGATGATCATTACAGCTGATGAGAGAGAGCGCTCTGCTTCATCTCATGCATCCACCTTTGTCTTTACAACAGACACACCTCTCAACCTAATCACAGATATAAGCAGCAGATCTTCAGGCTTCAGGTTTTGTTCTCGTTCATCATTACAACTGTGGATTAGAACAGGTTTGTGTCATTTAACACATGCAGCATGAGTGAGTTTCTAGTATCTAATGTCTCTTTTTGCTAATTAATAACATGCCCTATATTTAAATGTAAAAATTTAAACACACGTCCCTTAATGTATATCTCAAAAGATAATCAGAAAAACCCACCGCATATATTGATATATATATATATTGATAATCGATCATTTTAAATTATTTTCTTATTGAAAAATCTGTCCGTTTTTTTTCCTGAGTCATTGATAATCATTCAGTCTGTAAAAGGATATAAAATAGTGACAAATGTCCATCGCAATTTTGCAGAGCCCAAGGTGTCACCTTTAACTGTCTTATTCAAACTCAAAGATATTCACTTTACACTGATATCAATCACAAAAAAGCAGCAAATACTTACATTTAAGTAACTGGAATCAGAGGCTTTTTTGTGTTTTTATTAATCAACAAATCATTCCAGCATTATTGCTGGACACTGATGTGTTTTGGCACAAATTGAGTAAATATTATAATTCCTTAAAGAGCACATCATACCTACAGTCCACAGGAAAACAACTACACCTATACACCTGGAGGAAAAAGACAAACAGCAAAATAAGACAAAAACCTTGATAGAAAACAATAAAAGATGTATTTTGAAAACTTAAAGACATTAATATGGTATATTCTTCAGTCAGGGCCACACAAATGAATATTTTTGAACAACTTGCTACAATGGAAGCCTGTAATATCCTGTAGATTTTAGGGCCATACAACAGTCAAGAGATTAGTTGGACACTTTGGAAAATATGCTTATTTGCTTCACGGAGAGTAAGGTGAGAAAATCGATACTACTTTCACATCTGTACAGTAAATATGAAGCTACTACCAGCTGCTCATTCGATTACCTTGCTGGAAACATGGGGAAACAGCTAGCCTGGTTCAGTCAACACAATCCACCTAGCAGCACCTCTGAAGCTCACTAATCAACATGTTTATCTTATAGTTCTTACAAAAACTGTAAAAATGTCAAGTTGTGTGTTATAGTTTGACAGTGCCAGGTTAGCTGTTTACAGTCTTTATGCTAAGCTGAGCTAGGCATTATATTTACTGTACAAATATGAAAGTATCAATTATCAATCTTCTCAGCAAAAAAGCGAATCAGCGTCTTTCCCAAAATGTCAAACTATTCTTTTAAAGTGAGATATTCCTTCTCATTACATCTCCGCAAATTACATTTTACATCACAATGTACTGGATTACATTTAGGAATGAGTATATAGTGTATTGTGAAATCTTGAATTAGCAATATCACCTGTTTCAGTGACCTTTTATTGTGTCACACAGGGCAGTGGTGAGCAGCCCCAGAGACAGTCCCAATCACTATAATGCCGATCAGAGATTTGCTGAATCTGTTAGCGTTTTCCTGTGATATCAGCTGCAGTGTAATTACAGCACAGGCATGACAGAGCTGGATGAGCGGCAAATGGGGATTACATAGGGGCAGGTCATAATGATCAGGCCGGCCACATGTTTCTGAGGCAAATCTCATTTTGATAGCCAGTCTACCATACTGTTTTATTAGCAGAGTGGCTGAGGTCAATTAGCTTTTAGTTCAGTGCATTCAAATATTTAAATTGACATAATGCAGCTTGCTTTTATGAATTAATTTAGACCGATGAGAAAATGTGATTTTTATGATTTTGTATTTTAAAGAAGATCTCTTATTTATTCTTTGTCGGTCTTTGTGTTTCCTCTCTCTGCATAGCAGGGATTGACATATAGTTAGCATGTTCTTCATAACAAGCTACTTCCCTGTCTCTCCCTCTGCCAGAACTGTCAACCCCCTAACAAGGTGTACATATTCACAGCTGCTACTGCAGGAGAGGAGCCCAAATGAGGAGAGCCTGGATAAGATGAGAGGGACAAGCCAGACAACAGGTGCGTGGGTACATCACTGCTCATTCACTGCTACCACACTGCATGTTTTCAGCCATATAAAAGACAGCTGGTTTTGATTTATTTTGTTTTTTTAGATCAATTACTTGTAACTGTATGGCAACTCTCACTGCTTAGACAGGCGGGAGTATGACTAAGGATGGTTCATTCTAGTCTCACAGGCTATTCACACTTAC